AGCTTCTTCATATCCTACGAACTTTTATTTGTGATCGCTCTCAAGCAGTTTCTCCTCGATGGTCCGTCAACGTCCAAGAATTAAATTATTTACAATCCGCTAGTGAGTCCAAACTAAACTTCCTACCTTCCGTGGAGTCGATAGCTGAGTGATGTCTCCGTGCCAGCGACAAGCGAGTCCCCATTCTTGAGATTCTCCATCTTGGTCGCGCGCGTGCTTCGATCCGACATCCACGAGAGCTAATTCTCGATCGATCCTCGTGCCAACCCCTGAAACGTTTCGATCCGTTGGCCTTTTTCTTAATCGACGACTCACAGTAACATATACGTGTTACCGAAGATTCTTTCAATAATTTAACAATATTCGATCAAACATCATAGTCTTATAAATAATTCCTCGGATTCCACAGATTACATCATGAGTGTTACCACCATTTAATCAATTTAATCAATTAAATTTAATCAATTAAATTTCTATCAAAAAAATTTTCATCGACATCGAATTAATAATTTACAGATTCACATTTTCCAAGGAATTTTCAATAAGAACGTGACTCATTTATAACGATTTGTTTCCTTGTGATAATTTGCAGCTTACAATTGCAGCAAGATATTGTCCATAGGCTAGTCATAAATTTCCGTAGAATGGAAGATGCGAATAGGAATTGCGAAAATAATGATGTTAGACCATCGTCGTCGTGTTAATCGCGACCTGTTAATCGCAAATCGAGTTTATCCTTAATCTGTTCCATGGCAGAGTGGTCGTTCATAATACGAATCAATGAACCGCCGACTGTGCAGATCAAGATATGCCGCATACACGCGGTCGCATATGAAATACACACATACACACGCAGAGAGAATTGCGAAAGGGGGAGGGAGGGGATGAACGCGCGGTAGGATTAATTGAATATTGGATCGAAGTTCACACCTGCGAATAACGCATCCGACACGCCGATATCCGACCAAATTTCAAACATTCGGTAGATCATCAACACAGATTACAGATCTGTTAGTAACTTTCCACAATTCCATGTTCTTAATACCCGCAAGTATGCTTACATGATAGTTTAGTTTACAGAATCCTTAATAGTTTACCCGCTGCAGGAGGAGGAATTAATTAATTATTAATTAATTATTTATTAGGAAATTAGGAATTAATTAATTATTTAACCAAGATAATGAATTTGTTAGGAATTAGGAATTAATTAATTATTTAACCAAGATAATGAATTTGATTGATAAAATGTCGGAAAAATTTCGCGCACGGAGGAAAGTCTAATCTGAAAGAAATTTCGAGAATATTATTATATATTTTGATCTCAGTTTAGTTCACATGGAGGTAACACGCGCAATATCCACTCTAACAACACGATTGTTAAATAATTTTAGTAAGATGATTTGTGAAGGGACACGGATCGAATCGGTTGATCGCAAAACTGAAAACTGAAAATGAAAGAACTGTAACGGAGAGTCCAAAGGATGAGTACTCGCTGGACAAAGCTTAGGCTAAGTTCGCGTTCGCTTCGCGCATATCAGCGTGCCCTCATCTTTCTAAAAGATTCTTATCGTTATCGCTATCTTAATCCAAGATGATCCCTAAAGAGGATCGAGCTCTTCGAGACAACAAATTAATTATTACAATGACAAGCGTTTTTCTTGTCAAACACGTTCTCGAAGTCTTGCATGTGGAAATATCGAGCGAAATGCTTAAGGCCATCTACATTATCGCGTAGAGCACTAATTGCGTGTTGATTACATCGGCCAGGTTGGATGAGCTGGCGCGAAAGAGCCCTGAACTGAATACACAAATATTCACGTGCCATATCGTTTTCACATTATACATTATGTACATATCGGAAGAGCGATATCCCGGTAGTTGCCGCAATAATTTTGCATTAATTCGAATCGCGCGTAAATAACGTGCAGATTGACGTACGTTCATTAATTATGTGAAGACCGATAAATTGAATCCACACAAAAGTCGATCATGCGTACTCTGATATCACGTATCCGGAGATGGAAATCGAAACTGTAATTTTCGCTAACGGACTTCTGTGAAAAAAAAAAGAAAAAAGAAAGAAAAAAGAAATTATGTCAATGCTGCATTCGAGATAGAGCCAGCCGAGAATTACACGCGCCTCGCTAATTACAGACTCGCGCGTGTCTAATCTTCGTTAAGCGCCGATAAATAATCGCTCGTATGCTCATTGACGGCTTGTGATTTATGCTCCGTACGTACACATGTAAAATGTGGTTATACCACATGACGGTTTCTTGTTGCCAGGCGACACAAGGCGCGCGCGTTTTTCATGCCACTTGCATTTGCGACTGATAGACTGCAAACAATCTCGCAGATTTTCATTCGCCGGCATCGCCCTTTCACATTCGCCCCTTATTCACCCCCGCGTGAAATACGCTCGAACAAACGATCTTTCCGCGGCAATTTAGCCGTCAGCCCAGGTTGTTCTCGAAAATTCAAAGGGCAAAGAAAATTTCAAATGCGACCTTATTCAAGGGACAAGATGGAGGGAATGCAAATGCGCAAGTGCACTCGGAGCTATTCTGTCGCAGCGCGTGGAAAACGGTCGTAAAATTTCGACTCGAAAGCGAAAGACTTCGAGTATCTTCATCTACATGCCGAGAAATTATTCTTAATTGGACAGAAATCGCGAAAGTTCGTCGAGACCCTAGACGTTTTTTTCTCCGCGTGCCGCTGCTGTTAACGACAATGGCTTCTTCTCGCTCGCGCATACGATGCATGATTGAACATACGCCCGTGGAATACCTGACAAAGCGGTCGCGACCAATGAAGCAAAACGGAATGAAAAATCGAGAAACGAGCGCATAATCGAAAATCGAAAAATTCCATTCCGCGAGGCCGCCCGGCATGGCGGGCGAGAGAGTGTCTATTTTTTTTTTTTTTAATTTCTAATCGAGTCGCGACGCGCGCCGCGTA